CAGTTTTATGCTCTCCATTACTTACTAGTTACTGTTTTTACAAAAATTGTTTGGGAAATTTTGGTTTTAGTGATTGTTGGAAAAAGTTCCCTATATTGCTTTGTCATATTCAATTTTTGTTTTTTTATATATTGCTATAATTATAATGTCTTGAGATTCTAGAGATATGATAACTAAGTAAAGTGGTCTAGTTGTCACTCTTTCCAAGCAGCAGATCTAGAGTTCGAATCCTACAGATAACAAATTTGAAAAATAGGCTTGTTATGATAACCTGTATAAGATAATCTGATTAGTGAGATTTGTAACCTAAGTTGCACCAGAATACATTCCTGAAAGATTCACTAGTGTTTGTATAACTTGGGAAAACTTAGGAACTATGAAGGAATGCAAACTAGTTTAGAGCAGTACAAACACTCAATAAGTTCAAGATTGTATAAATCTCAAAAAATTTCTTTAATATACAGAAAACTCACTTGGGAAGTTCTGAATTGGGAATAGTGGCTAACTTTCAATAGTATTGCAGAATAGAAAACAAGATTGAGAACTCTTATAGGTTTGGGGTCACACCAACCTGGCCACCAGAGTTGCACTAGAGAAAAAAAACACATACTCTAGAAGTGTGTACCAAGAGAAAGAAGACTGTTAAACACTTAAAGCCAGGCAGACCAACCCTTTCAGGCTAACTAAATTGATAATAGTGATGTTTCTGGAACTGAACTCATAAGTCAGAAAGGAAGTTGGTATCAGAGTTAGTTGTAAACCTAATAAGAGCAAGAGTACATAATAAGATGTTATTATAAGAGAATTTCAAAGTATATTTGAATTATAAATTAAATAAATTATTACAAGTTTAATTAAGGTTTTATATAATTTATACTGATATAAATTTCTTATTGATATTGTATTTTTATTTAAAATTTTCTAAATTTTAAAATTATGTTTTAAAATAATAAATCAAACTATTATTATTACAGTTTCTTAATGTTTGCCTAAATTGATAGCATTGTAGATTGCTAGAAAATTATTATGTCTGTAAAATAGTCAACAACAAATTTTATATAATATAACAAATAAATAAATAAATATAATACAGTATATATATTTATATATATTAGGACTTAGTAAAAACTTAGAACCTAGGTTCTGAAATTTGAACTTAGTTTGGTTTAAAGACCGGGCCCTAGAGTCCTGGACTTAAGAATCCTAGTCTAAACCTATTTTGAGTTATTAACAAAAAATGTTGGAAGGGCAATTTTACTATAAAGTATTTTCTAACTACTCTAATTTCAATCAAATAGTCAAAAACATATGACTAAACATGGCTTTAGACATCCTCTTAAAAAGGAAATTACTCTTGCACAAATTGCAAATAATTTCTTTTAAGTGCTAACTAATAAATAACTATCTTATTATATAGCATTTGACATAACAATTCCCATGCTAATAAGTAGAGGTGCAGGCATTTAGAATTTTGGAGGTAACTACCCCAGCAAAAATATCACCATATTTGCCGTATAAGTAGAAGTGTCGCATGCCGTATAAATGCCGTATAAGTGTTGTATTTTGTATTAATACCGTATGCCGTCATTCACCTTAATTTAGTGGGCGAATATAAAGATCGGTGGATTAAAAAAGTGATTTACAAACACTTATTTATTACTAGCTAATAGAGAATTTCAGCTTAGTACCTTGGGAATGCAAATGAACGGATTTCATTCAACAAATTACCGTATTGTGGGCATTATTTTGAAAATCGGATCCTTCAAAAAATAATTTATATGTTCGCACTATGAAATAACGCACATTCTAATGTAGCACATATTGTGATAAATAATATACAGTCGGGACTCCATATGTGCACTCTCTATAAGTGCACTTCACATACCCTTTCCCAAAAACGTGCAGTTATGGAAGGTTGAATTTACTCTTATTTCGAGATAACGCACAGAATTAATACCTCAATCCCAGGGTTGGGCAATCTATATATCCAGTGCTTTTTTACTGGACACTGGACATTTCCGAATTGTCCAGTGTATATCCATTGTATGTCCAGTGTCCAGTGATATAGTTGTAATAATGTCATAAAATATTGTTAATAAAATTATGCTTTATCAAATTACTGTAACCCTGATGATTATCTATCACAAAGAAATCCGAAAATTTTAATGCTTTGTTATAAATCAATCTAATTTTTTTTTTTTAAGTTACAGCGATTTGAAGGTTGTCGCTCATTTCTCGAAAGTTATTTCTTCGACAGACAGGGCACTTACCCGACAATCTGCTAAAAATATATAGCTGCAACTAATCAAAATGCTAACCCTAACTCTCACCCTGTGTGATGTCGGATAAGTGGCCTATTCGGAAATAACCTTCGGGGAATCGTACCGTGACTTAACTTGAAAGCAGGTGATTTTTGGTTAATTTATATTGTAATTTTCAGTAAATAGTACCCTGAGTCTCTTAAATTCTAAATCTTAAAAATTGATTAGCTCCCTCTCGAACTGGCAATTTACTATTTAAGCGGGCACTTTAACAAGGGGATACTATTGGCCGAAAATTAAGGTATTGTCCAGTGTCTATTTTTCTTAATCCATTGCTTTTACTGGACAATTCGAACACTGGACAGATTTCCAATTGCCCAACCTTGGTATTGCAGGTCTGAAACGCAAAAGTTGTAAGTAAATTTTTTTTAATACAGGCTATTTACAACTCATATTATAAGCAATGTTTTAAGTACAAATTATTTCTAAAAGATATAGCACAGTAAACCATAATAAAGCAAAATGTATTTAAAGGTATTCACTTTGATAATAAAGTTTTTTCTCGACTTCAATACCTTAATTAAATAAAAACATTAAGAATTGAATTCTCAAGTATATAGATAAATAATGTTTATTGTTGTTAATCTGATTAGTCGAAATACGTCAAAATTACACGAACCCGAACTTAAATTTAGTATAAAATAAGCTTTTTACAGTTTGTGTACCTTCATAGGAAGACTTGGCTGATGTAAATCAATTGCCTGGGTAACTTATTTATGCAGTTTAAAGTACTTTTTGAGAACGTAACATTTCGTAATAACGCGCGAATACGCGTTATTTTGAGCACCTATGTGATATTTCGAATAATTTTTATATTGAACGTAATAGATTTGGTACAACAAATCTATAACAGTTATATATGAAAATCTAATTAGCCTCAGATTACAGTGAATATACGGTATATAGGAGCGTGTTATTTTCGAATTAAATATGCAATTTCGGAAGTTTCAAAATAACGCCCACGCACAAATACGGTAAAAGTTATTTATAGCTTTGAAGATCAAAAATAACCCGTAACCCCAAGAACTTAGAAGTGAAGATTTCGTTATTTATAAGTTTCGCCTACTTTGTAAATTCATTGGTATGAGCTGGATTTGGATTTATACAATCAAATATGGGTTGGATCTTTCGAAATGTCCAGTCCGGCCCATGCGGAACTCTATTAAAACGTATATTAATGTAGGCATTTAAACCAAAGTTTGAACTAACAAATCGAATTATACTCTTAAATAAATATTGTTTCAAAAAAATTAGGTTAAGATTCTTTAAAAACTATAAGCATTTAACATATAAAACACAATGGTTTTGCAAGGAAAGAAAGTTCTATTTAGCTTAACGAAAAGTATCAAAATTCTTTTAACAACAGTTTTTTCTTCTTTATAACTAGGTGTATAGACCGATGCTGATCCTTTAATTACCCGTGATCATATAGATATAGATATTATAGCAAAGTTCGATAACAATGCTAGCAAAATGTATAACGAAATAAAATGCATTCTCCTAAATATTAATGTCATTCATAAATTTGAAGAATCTGGTCAAGTTTTTTTTCGAATTCTTTCAACGTCAAAACTTCTACCTTTAATATTTAGAAAAATAAATTTGACATTAGACACGAAGTAATATATAACATATAAAAAAGAATGAAACCTTTCATATATTTACACCAGGAATTTGTGAGCGAGAAAGTTGTACTTCATCTTCATGGATAATAAGTATACAATGACGAGGAGGGTTCCCATTTACCATGAGAGTGCGATAGAAAATTAATAAAGTCCAATAAAGTGAGCCAACTTCATTTTTACCGTGACGTTGCTGTGACTAATTTAAGTCAATTAGTTACTATTATTCAACAAATGAATAGGTCATTGTTGATCTACCTTTTTCCATAAATCTTTTTCAAAGAAATTGATTTCTCCTGACTTGAATTTCGCATTAAAGACCCTACACACAATCTTTGTATGAATATTTTAAATAGGAAAATTAAATAATTACACTGAATAATATTTACCCGTAATTTTTATCCATTATTTTGTCAAAATGAGATTTCATCTTTGGATTTAACAAAATTGACCATTTTCCGCTATTCTAAGAATTAAATGAATAGTAAGATAGGCTAAATCAATAACAAAATAAAATTATTAACAAGCATATGTACGATTTGAGCAGTTCCAAAAATTCTTTCTACAGATTGAGAGTCGGCCGTAATTACTTTTGTTGAAACAGCCAAAAGACCACCTATAAAAATTTAACATTTTGTTAACACTGTTTCAAAATAATGTAGCAAGTATTCTGTACAAGAAACCTGGTGCGAAAAATGGTTCAAATTTTATTGGCTGTAATCTTTTAATATCATAACCATAGACGAGAAATTGACATCTTTTCATATGTTTTAACCGAATTAAATTTGGCATAAAATTTAATTGATTCAACCAGAAAACTTCGACCTGTATTGTAATTGAAGAGCAGGTAAGATGATTATTGTATGTTAAGTTTATTTAAAGAAATAAAATATTTACTAAAACAAGATCCAAGGTCTCATCACCGATCGCGTCTATTGGAAAATATTTTCCACCCAATGCTTTCATGCAAAAAATTATCGCTTTATGGTTTGAATGCTGTGGATTCCCATATATGCTGAATTTTGGTTTATTTGCGCATATGCGCGGTAAGACATCATCATAACCTTCTGCTTGTAACATAACTTCTCCCATAAAATGATCAATATCGTCCATCTTTTCAATACCTAACACAAGTTGCTTCGATAAATCCATGCAATTCTTTTGCTTTTCTGGTATATTGTAAGGAATGAGAAGCATACGCTCAGATATTGGATTTAATCCAATTTTTTTGCATATATCCACTAAATTAACTATGCCTAATAAGCAAAGCTTCTCTATTTCATACTCTTTCAAAAAGAAAACAGCGATCTAGAAATATCCACTATTATAAATAGATTCACAATAAACATTATTAAAATATACATATATTAATCTTGATTGTATACCAAGTCATTTGCCTTCAGCCATTCATGTTCTACGCCAAATTGATCACATGAACGCGAGTTTTTATCCGACTCCATTGATAATATACCTTGCAGGACGACATCTTTGATAACAAATTGTAAGGCGAACGATGAAGGTATAACATTTACCATACACATCTGATTCATATCTTTAAGGATATCGCTAGAAATATTTTAAATTTGATTAAGAGTGAGATATGGCAATAAAACAATTTTAAATATAATTCGTCTTAATTAATTTAAAATAATACAATATGTGCTCGTCCTTGTAACTTTCAGAAATTTGCTTAATTACTATGTTCGAGATGAATTTACTATTTTTTCCTTTTGTCAGAGGTCCTTTCCATTGCCTATCAAAAATCAGGTTAGTTTTAGTTGGTCAAGATTGCCCAACGATTATAGATTGTACAATTTACTTTATTTCCGTAAGAACATCACATTCATCTATTTGCATTGTATCGGGCTCGTCTATTGAAAATTTATGTAAATTGATCATGAAAATTTTAAACATATTTTTTATTTTTTTTATTTATATCTAACATACCTGCTGCTGCTTTTTGAACTGCTTTGAGTATAGGCTTTGGTTTTGGATCAAGTTGTACTGGGTTTGACGTACGCATTGTCAAAGGTACCGTATCTGATTTTAAAAATTCTCGTGTATTGGTAAGGTCTGTAGAGAATTTCACTGATTTTAAGGCCGAATTCTGTAAAATGATATCACAATAAAATTCAGACTTTTTTTAAATTGATTCAAAGCATTATAATATTTACGATATAAGAAGCACGAGCTTCTTGAACTTACTTGTCTCTGCCTACATCTTTCAATCAATGCTTCAGCATTTCGAAGATTTTTAACTGGCTCCCATTCTGGTTCTAATGACTGATCTTTAGGGAAGAAATATATATTTGCAATCATTACTTAAGTAATGAACGTAAAAATTTTACATATTTATTACATGCAGATTTATTACCTGTATAAGTTATGAATGCAAATTCTTCACCGTTTTCTGTTTTCAAGTCTACTACAGAATGGATTGTACATAATTTGACTTGGCCACTAACTTGTGTGGCTGCCCAAGCGGAAAGATCCGGATCTTGTTGTGATACGGGCGACAAGGAACTTGGAATGGTGTTAGCGGGAGTGTCTGTGTTTGAAGTATTTGTGTTCGTACTTGCAGATGGATCCATAAGGCGGCGAAGTGCCCCTCGACTTGTAAAAAAAAAACAAAAAAAAAACTCAGTAATATAACGTGTTTATTTTCATTCATCAGGGCACTTCTAAAAGCTTACCCTCTTGGATGCGAAGTTCTCGCAGTTTGCCTTCTAGTTGGTGGCATACTTTTTGGTTTAACAAATAATACAGTATAAATAATAATAGCAATTTTGAAAATTTTTTTATTTTATAATTTCTTGAAGTAATGCGTCATTGTATTTGGACGATAGAAATTATCTGTAGGTAATCATTAATGTTAATACTATGTCACTTTTGTTACATTGCTGACATATAGATATGAATATTTCATCTATTTGATCCTTAAAGCATTGATACTTTGATATTTCACAGTAGAATTTTTCGAAATAAAATTCACTGTTAAATTTATTATTTTATCATTGCAAAAACATCAGATTATTCTTTATTAAATTACCCCTCCATATAATCACCTCATTATAAGCACATCTTACAGTATAAAAACCTCTCTCCTTATCACATTTGTATTTTAAAATAAATCAGTATTAAAAATACAAAAATGTACTACTTTATAAATAATAAGCACATTTTTTTAAAAAATATCTTTAAGCAACCAACTTGATGATTATAAAGAAAGATGACTATATTAATTACAAAGTTCAATCCTTTTACATTACTACAGAGTTGATATATAGTAGAGAGAATTCTAAGATATATAAAACCAGTGTTGGGAAAATTAGTAGTCGACCAAAAATTTACTGGTCAAATTAGTCAAATCAATTATATAAATATTATATAATAAATTATATTTAAATATACTATTTAACCGAGTACAGATCCTTTGACCAGACCGGTCAAATTGGTAAAATTGGTCTGGTCAAGCCAACACTGAATAAAACATATAACAACTCGATTTAAAAATGGAGTCTATATGGGCTAGGTGCTGGAAAAAGGAACGAAATCGACAAAACAAAAGATCTTCAGAAAATCAATTTTTGTGTTATA